CACAGAAACACACACACACAGTAAAACACACACACTGTATTATGGTCTGTATAAATAGCAATCGGAGTCTTCGGCCCGTTGTCGTGGTGACAGCGTGTTTGCAGGTGATTGATTGGTGGACATTGGTGGAAGTTGGTCGTCATGGCGATATAAGGAGACTATAGGCTGGGACACAGGAATGTAACGAGAGAGAGAGAGAGAGTTTCCTCTTACATAACTGCCTGCATTGTGTCATCTCAGCTACACACTTGGTGGACCTGGATGACTTTGTTGAGATGACTAAAAAGTATGCACAAGGTATTGTTCCCTCTACAAACAAAAATGCCAGCCAGGCCGAATCCAAGCCTGAAAGCCCTACACGTCATGTCAGCACGGGGGAGGTAAAAGACCCAAATGGCAAAAATAAAAAAATGTCTTTCATCATAATCTTGTAGATGTCGCTCTGTTTTAAGCTTAACTATTCAGACTAGTGTGTATTCATGTTAAAGCACAAGGCTGAGCTGGTCCCATCAGGATACAAGAAGGCCCACAGAAGTTCTTGGAGTTTTGGCCGGAGTGGGATGATGCTGGATTCTAATCAGACTGGGGCCATGAAAAGAGCCATGGACATGAAATCCCGCTTAATGGTACTTAAGAATGTCTAGCATTACAATTCATCCTGCTTTTGTATATCCTTCATTAAATATCTGTCTAATAGTCGTGGATGTTTTTACCTCTCATTCCTGGTTTCCATGGTTCCTCCAGTCTCTTTATCTGTCTGTCTCTCGTCGCCTCAGATGCTGCAGTACCCACTGCACTCCATTGTTGAGATGAAAGAGCACCTGGTCGACTGGGCATCGCGGGCCGGTGTGCAGTGGCTGAGCACAGTCATCCCCACACAACACGTCAACGCACTTATTTTCTTCTTCATCGTCAGTAACCTGACCGTTGACTTGTTTGCGTTTGTCATCCCTTTGCTTGTCTTCTACCTCTCCTTCATCTCCATGATCATCTGCACACTGCGTGTTTTCCAGAGCAGCAAGGTCAGTGTAGTTGGTGATTTATCGTGATTTACTATGTTGCTACATGTTTCTCTGTTCTGTCAAGATGTTAATGTGTGTGCATTTAGTTTAAAGTTTTCACTGTAGTGAGGTAGACGAACATGTGGGAAGATTTTTATTTGTCTGAATTATTTTCGTAAACTGTGCCACTGGGAAACTCATACGGTCTAGTCATGTAGCCATTTTCCTTACTGTCATGAGGCTCCAACCAGTGGACGCTGATCTTCTGACTTAAAAGTTAACTTACTGATGTCTTAAAATTGGCAGTAATGGTGGTAATGATGTATGGATGTTCCACTGCTCATCATACTGAATTTGAAGATTTAAAATCCATCCTATTTTTAACTCTCAGCAATGTCTTTTCATCCTTTGACCTCACATCTTCTTTTCCCTTTTTTTCTTAGACTTGGGAGAACTTCAGAGCCTTCACATCTCTGCTGACACGTTTCGAGCCTGGCCTGGATGTAGAGCAGGCAGAGACCAACTTTGGCTGGAACAACCTAGAACCGTACCTTTATTTTATCCTGTCCGTTTTCTTCATCATTTTCTCCTTCCCTGTAGCTGACAAGGGCTGGATCCCCTGTTCCGAGCTCTCCACTGTGGCCATCTTCTTCACTGCTGTCAGCTACAAGAGCCTCAGCCCCACCGCTGCGACGTATGCACGCCGGGCAATGGTCATAGAGGTCAGGGGATGCACATATACATGGTCAGAATCACAGTTTTGGATGTTGTAGCCTCTTAACTACAAATCACATAGTATAGTTGACATTATTACACTAATCTTATAAAACACAGAGCAAGTTTGTAGATTTCATTGGTGAAACTGCAGAGACATTGCAGAGACTTGACATTTGTAATGCATATTCACTGGTGTGTTTAAGAAAACTCCAACATCTCAAATTTGGCTGTTGAAGTTGTCTTAACCACATAAAGCGATCCTTGCTTGAAACTGTATGACCATGACGAGAACAGTGAGTGACAAAGAGGACAGTAAGCATCTACAAGTAGATTTTCATAGTGTACTGAAATTAAATGACATCAGCTGTGGAAGATAGCATATCAGTATAAAAGTGAATTTGAAATAGAACAGTTCTCTCAAAGTTGATGTATGTATTTCTTTTTTAATCCAGGTAGCATCATCTCTGTGTTGCCTGACCCAGTTCCTGCCAGAGAGCTCGACACTGCTTCGTTGCCTGGGACACACCTTCGCCACAGTTCCATTAGGGGAGTCAGTGGTGCTGAAGCTCAGTCTTCCCTGCCTGCTGTATGTTTACCTGTTCTATCTGTTCTTCAGGTGAGCAGGAGCATTTGGGACACTGGATGTGTTTTATGAACACCAGTTCAGACAATGCATCGTGTCAGCAGGATTTAAAGGTTATATATATATGAAAAATATTAATACTTGGTGAGTTCAGATATAGTGGAGTCATGGTATCCTGAGAAGAGAATGGCGTCACACTACCTTTGCCTATTTTGCTATCCAATCCTCTTTCTGATTTGCTCAAAAAGACAATCTGGCCACATGTACATATTAATGCCTGTGAGTCCCTCCATGTACAACTGAGGAGTCTAGTGGCAAGTGAATTTCATATACAGTATACTTTTTTGTGAATTGATACATGTATGTCCTCAAAATAATTTATTTTCTTTCTTCTTCTTTATGTCTATTTTCACCTCCAGCATGGCCAGGATGCGTGGTTTCCGGGGGGTTTACTGCTTCCTGGTTCCATACCTTGTGTGCTTCATGTGGTGTGAGTTTTCGGTGGTGCTCCTCCAGAATTCCTCCGCTGTGGGTCTAATCCGCACCTGCGTGGCCTACTTTCTCTTCCTGTTTGCCCTGCCTGTTCTGGCTTTTGGCCTGGCCGCCATGCTCCTCATCCAGCTCTTCAAGTGGTTCCTCGAGCTGGAACTGACAAAGATGATTGTGACCCTGGTAGTCTGTGCAATCCCTGTCACCCTGCGGCTGTGGACACGTTTCAGCATGTCCATTCTGGATGTTTTCGGATCACTCACTCACCGTGGCCCAGTCAAACTCATTTTACTCTGCATCTCCATGGTGATCCTGTTCTTCTCTATCTACGTGTACTATGCAGAGGGACAGAAGGTGTACAATTCCACCCTGACTTGGAACCAGTACAGCCAGGCGTGTGGGCCACCTGCCTGGGAAACTAAAGGCATGGCGCAGACACAGATCTTCTGTAGCCACCTAAATGGACATAGAGTCACCTGGACTGGGCGTTTCAAGCATGTCCGTGTGGCCGACACAGAGAACGGAGCACGGTCGGTGATTAACATGCTGCCAGTGTTTATGGGAGACTGGCTGCGTTGCTTGTATGGAGAGACGTACCCCAAATGTGAGCCGAAAAATGCAACCGTTGCAAACCTAACAGCTGCCAATTTGGCAGCCGGTTCTGCGTCGAGTACCACTGCACTGCCCGTACTGTTCCCAATGCAGGAAGAGGAAGAGTTATGTCAGATCAAGGCTTTGGCCAAAAACACCTGCCACATCAAGCGCTTTGATAGCTACAGCTTTGAGGTTACAATAGGGATGATCCAGGATGGAAGGGTGGAGGACCCAGCCAGGGATATACTCCTAATAGCCAGCCATGAGTTCAGCCAAGTTCTGCTCAACCTAAATCTGGGTAACATGGTGGAGTTCAGCACCAAGCTAGAGGGCCGTCTAGGATCCAGAGCTCCGTCATTCGAGCTGAAGGCTATCCACTGTCTGGACTGTGATTCTTCACTACTGACTGGAGGTCGGCAGGTGAAGTATGAGAGAGACTGGAGACGCACCACAATGAGAGCCCTGAAGTTTGCTTTTGATTTTTTCTTTTCTCCTTTCCTGTCAGCAAGAATCACAGCCTGAGAAAAACAACAGTGAAACTGAAGTAATAATGATATAATATAACTCTTATATAAATATAAGAGATAATAACAATCTCTTCAGGAAGCCATGCTATAATTTTCTCATAGTATGATCATGTTACTAACATAACTACCATTTGATCTAACATTGATCTACAGCTAATGTTTATGTGTTGAAATTTCAACAAGGTGATAGCATTTAGAAAATGATTGAATACTTTAAGTACTTCCTGTTAGTGCATGAGTTTCCAAAGATTTTACTGTTTTTCAGTTCAAGTACCTCTAAACCAATTCAAGAAGGGTCAGATGCCCACTTTGGCTTGAGACACAGACACAGTCACTTTTCAAATATTCTTCTTGTATCCAGGGACATGCTTTCAAAAACAGCCTGTAATTTGATGGTGCCAGATTATATGCAGTGAGGCTAATGTTGGGTGCTGACCACTTCTGAATGCCTAGAGATACTGCACATTTGTTAAAAATAAAATATTATCAGATGACATTTATCTTTAATAGAGCAAAGTTGCTGCTGCTTTTGTATGAAGGAGTTTCTTATGTGTATGGGAAATATGTTTGCATGTACAGTATGTGTGTACCTTTGTGTGTGTGTGTATGCATTGGTGCTTTTTTTAATTTACCTATTTATTTATAGGTGTTTGTTACTTAAAAAAACTCTGGTCTTAATCTTATTTTTAATTAATGATCAGACGTACCTGTGCCATGAGCTACAATGCACATAAAATAAAAATCCAACATAAATTAATCCAGCTTTTTGCCTTTTCACTGAAGCTGTTTATTGCAAACCTTGTCAAAAATTATGAAGCTGTAGTCCCAGTTTCATTGTTTGTATTACACCTTCAAACCACACAACAAAAAGGCCAAAGACGTCACAGCTGATAGGTCTTACTATTTACAGTGTTTGCTGCAAACCATGCAGCAATTTAACTAACTGGGAGGGACGACTTCTAAATGTTATTTTTTATATATATATATATATAAACATCACTAGTCTTCACAGTCACTGGGAAACAAACAGAAACTGAAAACTGAGCGCATTAATTCCTGGAATTTAATTAGTCATATCTCTGACTGTAACAGTGTTCATTCCGTAGAAATAGAGTCAGTAGTGGGAATATTTCAAATGATTTGTTTTGCTTCTCGGCACAGAGTGGAATTATTTTGCTTTGATGTCATGATATTTTAGTCTCATTATTTAACTTTACAGTGTAAACCTGTATCTGCCTAATTTGATGAGTTCGATTTTTTCATATAAACTGAACTATTAAATGTCCAGTGTGTAACGTTTAGGAGGATCTAATGGCAAAAATGAAATACAATATTCATAGGTATGTTTTCATCACCTGAATATAGAATCATTGTGCTTTCTGTCCTTAGAATGCGTCTTTATCTACAGATGCCACAGGTTGCCTTCCATGGAGTTCGCCATGTTGAACCGCCATGTTTCTACAGTAGTCCAGAACAGACAAACAAACCAAACACTGACTGTAGATTGATCCTTTTTGGGCGAGTTTTGCAGACACTGTTTCTCCTAGCCACTTCACAGCCCGTTCTTATTTGCAGGTTGTCAACTACAGACACCAGCAGCGTTCAGTTAGTTGCAATCAGAAACTGCACCACTAGATGCCACTAAACACACACACACTTGTCCTTTAAGTGTTTTTTATGGATTGATAAAATTCTACTTCTACTTCAGTGTAAAATAAAAAATATAAAAAGCAGTAACTTTAAACGGATTATCTGAAAAATGCAGTCATAAAGCTGAAAACTGGGATGTTTTTCTTTGAAATACATGGTTTTCACGGAGCAGCAACAATATGTAGAACTGCATTAGAAGTACTAATTAGATGATCAGCATATAACACTTGCATTGCATGAAAAGCCAAACATGTGAACACTATTACATTGTAACCTCTACTTACTTGGGAATGACAGTCATTGATGTTGAGCCTGTATACTGTGAATGCTTTATTTAGTGGTAAGTTTAGGAGGGAGTGGGAGCGTGCAATGACTATTAAAGTGCTTGTCTTTTAAACAAAACCCCTTTTGGATGATTTTATTCAGATTCATAATCAACCAGAAAATTATGTAACATTAAATATAGACACAGACATAAAAGGATCCACACATTTGTTGTCCGATTTCACATTATTTTATTAATGCACATTCCTTTCATTCACCTCATTTGAGTTATGTTTTTTGTATTGTTAAATTTGTCCTTTTTTAAAGTATGATAGATATACACGCTAGTAGCATTGAGTAATGGCAACATGCTGCTGCTGCTGTGCTCCTGAACACAAAATCTCTCACTGGTTGTATGTAGTGGTGGTTATGATGTGATTACAACTGACCTGCTCTAAACTACAGCTCACAGTTGGAGGACTGAGCCCTGGGACTTATCTAATGCTTCATGTGGCCTGTCACTATGTAAACCATTTCCTTATGGGTTGTCATCATTGTGGATTTTTCTGTGTCTTGAACACGTTCTTAAACCAGTCAATAAAAGACCAAAACATAATAGTAGTCCACAGGCTGCAACATAAATGTCTGTGAGCAGTGATTGTAAAAAAAACAAAAGGAGGTAAAAAGTGAGGAGAGAGCAGACAAGTGAAACATATATAATAACAGTTTTCTTTTTTTCTTGGGATGTAAGGTTTACACAAAGTCAGATCTTGAAAAAGTGCAAAGGGACCTGATACTTTCCACCTCTCTGCACTGACTCCATTACTTCACCTGCTACAGTATACATCCAGACCACTTACAGTAATTCCCATCAGGGCCAAGGTCACTTGAAAACAAAGCACTGCACTGTAAACAATCAAATCTTGACCAAGTCACACAATTCAGTCAGCTCCTTACAGTATCCTGGGCTTTCAGTGTCGCACCCCAGTAGTAGTATGTGGCACTGTGAGGTATATGGTATAATGACATAATGACCTGTGATATGATAAATTCACATGACGTTATTGTTTCAATGAAAGACATTTCAGCAATGTTCATTATGACCTATTGCACTGACAATTACTTCTGACCTTAAAATACACTGGACACAAACATACTCATAGCTTTCTTAGGGGGCCTAGTTTATGAACAATGTGCTTAGATTCCATCTTTTTCTTGATTGTAAGATATTTCTTCAAATTGTGCTCATGCATTATAAAATGAACAGTGCTCATTTTAAATTAGCATAACACTTAACCTAAATTAAACTTTTGTTCATATTAGATTAAATCACCAATCAGCCTCAATTTGAGCATATGTGAGGGGGCTCAGCGTTAACACACTGTGGCTCTCATTTTCGGCAATTTACCACGTAGGTATGCAGACTTTGGAAATGGCCTGAATACAGCAATCAAAACCCAATACAGGCCTAATATACATAGCAAAACAGCAAGTCTTGGTCTGTGCACAACTCACCCCTCCCTCTCTACAGCCAGCAATACCTATCTATGTACTGATGCAAAATAAAAGCGCCCACATCAAGTCTTTAACTGGAATAGTGCGATTCTGAACCCTTTTTATACATTAGATCCCAGGTTCATCTGCAGTGTACTAGACAAAATGCATCTTTTATCTTTTAGCTCTCTGGAACCAAAAATCGATACTGCCTAAAAAAAGAAACACATATTATTTACAGCTAACAGTAAAAATAGTGTATACCTGTAGAAGAAGAGCTTATGTTTTAAGCAGAAATACTGCTGCACTGTGTTTTTCTTAGTGCTGTTATTGCAAAGTGAATAGGGCTAAAAGATTATGGGTCATTTATGCGTGCAATCTCCAAGAGCACTGCTCTAAAGGAGAGGTTCAGCTGCTGTTGTCAACCAATAGAGAGAAAAAAAGGCTTAGGATGTTGTTGTGATGAACTGTACAATAACACCATTCCTAATGTTCAACAATAGTGGAAAAAATGCTTTATATGTACTAACTGGCAAAGTCAATTCGCAATCTAATCATCTCAAGAACCTAATGTTTCATAGCATCATTCCTTCTCTGTTGCTACTCAATGCACATCTTCCATTTTGTGTCAAAAGGTACCAGAGCACATCAGTGAAGAGTGCAACGTGTGTGATCAACAGCACTGAGTCATTGCAGATGGAGAGGTGTCCCTGCACCTCTTTTACTGCCCCTACAGTGGAGCAGTTAAACAAACATCTTCAAAAAGTGGGAGTAGTGGGACCAAAAACATGTCCTGATGGGTGCTGGAGATCAGTTTGTGTCAGTGTCAAACAAAAATGATTATACATCTTCCTTGGGGATCAAATTAATTAACAGTCTTGTCATTTTATCATAAATCCAATCTTTTATCAACACAAACAGATGTTGTAAAACAGCTTGGCTTTGACTTAATTTCCTCACAAAGGCTGTCCACTCCCCATGCCTTCTCTAAGACATCCAAATATATTTGGGACACTGTGTCTGTCCTTATCTCTGTCACTGTGTCTCAGGGTTAACACGATCCTGGAAGATGTACAGGTTGTTGGTGGCGGCGATGGCGATGATGTTCTCATTCGGGTGCCAGGCTGTGTGGAGGATCTTCTTGGTGAAGTCCAGGCTGTCCACGCTGATGTCGTCCTTCCGGCGCTTTCCTCCGGCGGCGCAGACCCTTCGTGGCTTCAGGACAGCCCGGGGTTTGCTGCTCTCTCTTGACGCCTCCAGGGTCACGTCGCGTTTGGTGTTCCGGTCGAACATGCGGAAGAAGTTGTTGTAGGCTCCGGTCATGATCACGCTGGAAAGAGGAAGAGGAGAGAAAGGACTGTGAGTCTCTCTCACGTGATAAACTGGTGAGGGCCTTTATTAATTACATTAAACTAACCTTAACCCTCCACTACCTGTCTAAAGATAAAGGGTCACTTCCATTATAAAGCCACTGTGGTATCAGGTAATCAGTTTTATTTGGTTAGGTTTTAAGATTTAAGATTCATTTGTGGAGCTCACAGCAATAGTAGAAGAAGTATTCAGACCTTCTACAGAAGTAAACGCAGAAATAACTATAAAAATAGTAAAAGTATTATCTGTAAAAGTTCTTATTATGCAGACTGTCTTCTAACTGCTTTATCTACTGTTGCAGATGCAATGTATTTTCTCAGGTCTGATTATATGTTGTTTTAGTAAGGCTGTTAAATGTACTACAGGTAGTTTTTAACTGGATATGAGGCAGTCTCAATTTAATATATGACCTACATAAACAAACAAGATAAGATTGCGTATTTCTTTTTAATTATTCTTAATTCCTGCCACCGGGTCAGATTCAGTCGAATTACCCTTGAAATCAATTAAATTAGGTGGTGGTGGAAACACTACCGCTTTTGTCCACAGGGTCCGCCAGAATCAACACAAAAGGAAAGTTCCTTGTACAAATAAATGCAGTGCTGTAAAAAGTACAATATATCTGAATTAGTGTAATATTAGACTATAAAGTAACATAAAATGGAAGTAACTTTTCAAAAACAATGTCCCTGGTTACGCTGGATAATCCATAAAAATATGATATATTATAATACGAAAGATATTTGCTGCTGACTTTTCATATTTTTCATAGAGGGACATCTCAAAACCTCAACACATTGTGAATGGTAAGATACTGTACCTGTGTTGGTAAGTGAAAAAATCAACCAATCAAACAACCCATAAAATATATAAGAACACCAGTTTTACATGTTCTCACTTACATTTAGTATAGAAACACAAAAACACACAGACGGACACATGCGGGTACCTGTCCGAGCCGTTCCAGGCACACTCAAACTTGTCAAAGATGCAGTCGTTTTCGTAAAGGGAACACAACTTGCTGCGGAGGTAATCATGTACCTGAAAGAACACACACACACACACACACACACACACATAGATATAATTAACACTGAGTCCAGCATACAGCTGTTCCACTCCCAGCTATTGACTCTCTATGTAAACTATAAATAGAAGAGTGAGCAGAAGACACACACACACACACACACAAATCTCAGCACAGACAAAACACATTAAATCGGGCAAGTTGAAACACAAGCCTCCCTGAAGGTAACTCTAATAAGACACAACAGCAAGCCCTCTGCAATATGAGGGCCAAGAGTACATTTTAATCTAAACTCCTTTTCCATATCAGTAAATCCATTAACATCCAAACCCACCAAGGGCATGATAATAGAGACACACATGTGAAAGCGCACACACACACACACGCACACACATATATTCACTGACTAATAACTCTTTTCCCTCGTGCTTTCCTTCGACCTGCCTGTGTCAGCACTGTGTCTGCTCGGTGATGCAAAGGGTTGAAATCTACACCTCCCTCCAGCTGCCGTGCTCTGCATTAAGCCCCCTATTTTCACATTCTGCATAAAGTCAGCAGTCAACAGTCGCCTCGTAATCAATAAATGGTCAAGCTGAGGTCGGCTCATGGTTGTACATCAAACCCGGTGACATTTTGGTTTTCCCCTATGGGTCTTTCTGCTCAGGGTGAAATGTTACAGTGTCAGCTGAAGCTGAATATACTGGGTTTTTTTTCCAGTCCGCATGATCTCTGATTTAGAGTACAGTGCCTCGTCCCTCATGGACTGGTGCATATTTTTCATGTGCCAGGAGGAATAGGAGTGTAAATTTACCTAAATAAGAGCAGTTAAACCCTGAAATCCTTTTTCTGCCCTCAGTTTACTCTATTCAACTCCTGCCATTCCTCTTTCTCATCTTCTCATTTACAGACTCACTCTTCCCTCCCTTCTTCATCACACCATCCTCACACTCCCTCCAAACCACCACCACCACCACCACCACCACCACCCCGCCTCTGCTCCACTTTAAGAGGGAGAGAGAGAGAGAGTGAGTGAGTGTGCGGCAGATATTAAACCACTGAACCCCGACAATTTGCTTGCTCAATTTCCGCGTCAGCCCCTCCTTCCGAGAGGAGTTACTTCTAAACAAAGCCCCCCCTCCCCAAAAAAAACAAACAAAAACATACTAA